AACAAGGAGTTGTAGCATGTTCCGATAGAAAGGGTCAAGGTTCCTGGCTGTCCTTGAAGGAGTTATGGTTGATTTGCCTAGCTAGATGGTGAAATTGTGATGAAGTGATGGGTTTGCTGAAACTACAAGCAGTTCTGTCTTGGCAAGGTTGAGTTGAAGGTGATAGTCCTTCATCCAGCAAGAAATGGCTGTTAGACAAGCTGAGATGCAAGATCGTCGGATCAACAGGATGGAATGAGAGGTAGAGTTGAGTGTCATCAGCATAGCAGTGATATGAAAAGACATGTTTATGAGGCACCCCAGTAGCTAGATGTTGTGACTTGAACCACTGGAGTGCAGTTCCTAAGTTTCCTTTTGCCAATAGGGTTGAGAGGAGGATTTGTTGGTTAACCGTGTCAAAAGCAGCAGACAGGTCCTGCAAGACATTTCAATATTTCAAGTCTAGTTTGTGTGTTTGAAAAAAAAAAAAGTAAGGGCTCAGACATGAGCTGATTTCACAATATTAAAGGGATAGTTCACCCAAAAATGAACATTTTATGTTTATCTGCTTACCCCCAGGGCATCCAAGATGTAGGTGACTTTGTTTCTTCAGTAGAACACAAATTATGATTTTTAACTCCAACTGTTGCAGTCTATCAGTCGTATAATGCATGGCAATGGTAACAAAATCTATGAGAGTAAAAAAAAACATGCACAGACAAATCCAAATTAATCCCTGCGGCTCGTGACGACACATTGATGTCCTAAGACACGAAACGATCGGTTTGTGTGAGAAACCGAACAGTATTTATATCATTTTTTACCTCTAATACAGCACTATGTCCAACTGCCTTGAGCGCGCGCAGGCGTCCGGTGCTTGAGGTGTGTACGCGCTCTGGCGTAGTTTACGCAGTTTACGCCGGAAGTTTAATTTAGCCTTAATAAAAGCACAATGTCAAATCCCAAGGAAATATTAAAAACTACAGGCTGAAATGCACTTGAAAAAGCTTGGTTATGCCCATAAACATCATTTATTTTTAGCACAGAGAGGATTCTGGGACTTCCTTGACGCACTCCAACAAAAGAAGCTTTCTCTCCTTTTTTTAAATTTTTTTTTTACTTCCTGCCAGTTCTGTTAAGGGGTATGGGGTTGACTTTGGAAAGGTAACAAAGCAACACACTTAAGGTTTAATTTTATCTGTCTCTTTCAGACATGGTTCAGTACCAGCAGACTCTCCATGTAACCTGAGCAGATGTCATTCAGCCCGCGTTTGAAGGTGGAGACGCTCTGTACTGTTTTGACTTTACAGGCCTTATGAAAGTGGTTGTGTCACAGGAACAAAGGTTTGGCCATTAACAAAGCTTCCTGAGTGGCTTTCTAATATTAACTGTTACCAGTGAAGGACTTCTCAGCTAACAGGAAAGTACTTTTTACAGCTAATTAAGAATAAGGTCAGAACACCATGAACCTGTATTTACACGAGAACACACCCGTTATGTATATTTTACCATCCAGTCAATCAGCGGTGCAATCAAACATCAGGTTATAGTCAACTAAATATTAATCTTCTCATTTTAGGATCAAATCTGGATGCGGTAAAGTATTTCACTTCAGTGTTAGAAAACACTGAGGTCTGATCGCTTTGACAGGAATAGAAAAGAATTACTCACTGGAATGAGTAGTGTATCACTTTATCAGAAATTTCCCTCCCAGTATGCTCTCAGAAAATTCATGAGAGTAGATATCCTGTATTTTAAAAAAAATAAAACAGACGTGCATTGTGGTTTCTTTTAGGGATGCAAGCATATAGAAGGCTCATTGAAAAAAAAATGGTGTAGGATTTTCTTTTAAACTATTTTCACTTAGTAATTGCTAGTAAATTGGTATGATGGTATATGTGCAATTTAAGGTAGTTAGCTTAAAAAAATCAGGACTTTTCCTGTGATGTTTCTCCTAAGAATCGGAAGAAATTCCAACAAATCAGACAATTGGAAAATTTGAATGAGAAATGTTATACTAAAGTTATATTAAAATCTCTAACTTTCTATCAGTCACTGAGATCTCAAACAGGACCCAATCAAAACATACGAATTGTGTACAAACACCTGATACAAACTTGAACATTGCATGCTTAAAACATCTGCAGAATGTAATTTACTTTTCTGAGGAAATGTTTTGATGTATTGCAAATGAGAAAATGTTCTAAAAGTTATTTATTTATTTAGTCATTTATCAGACGCTTTTATCCAAAGCG